TGTCTCTGTCTCCATGGTAACAGGAGGTGTAAATCCACTTGTCTCTGTCTCCATGGTAACAGATGGTGTACTGTTCTGTTCGTCCCTTAAGCACCTGCAGCTTTTGGACCTTAAGGAGGTTCTGATCCGTGCAGCTGGTGGAGCGAGCAGCACTGGGTCTTTTCGGTTCAGCAGCTCCAAGGTTCTAATAAAATCAATGATTTTCCTCAACCGAGCGCTCAGCATGAGTTGTTTACCTCAGAAGCTTCAGGTGTGGTTCACCTGAGGCGTCTCTCACATGACTTCGTGTAAAACAAACACCTGTCTACCTGCACATGATGATGTTGACGCTGATGATGGTTTAGTTTCTCAGGCAGGCTGTTTGTTTCCAGACTCAGATCTTCTGTTTCCGATCTGATTCTTCTTCTTCCTGTCTGTGTCTCTGCACACCTGTCTGTCTGTCTTTCTGTCTGTCCTTCCATCCTGTCTGTCTGTAGGAACTCGGAGACATTGATTACGATTGTGGCTTCAGAGTGAGTATGAGAGCTGCACACCTTGTCATGAACAGCCAACCTGCCGGTTCACTGGCTTCACCTGAACCGGGACTGAACACGAGTCCATGTGGGCCTCCACAGAGGAGCCGTTAGACACAAGCCGAAGGTTTTCAGGATAAATCTGAGTTAATCTTTTAGTTTTGTTCAGATTAGTAAATAAATTCAGTGATAACAGAAGACAAGTCCTTCAGGTTCAGTTCCACGCTGACATGAACTCGTGCGGTTCTGAAACTCTCCAACGTCAAACACTCCGTCTGTGTGTTAGCACTACACCAAGGTGGAAAGACATCAGCAATGGCCTCTGAGAAGCAGCTGTTGCTGCCCGTTAATCTGGATAGGGTCAAAGGTCATTTAGTTCCACAGAAAGAAGTGGAAACATTTCAGGCAGCTGATTCACCCTGAAGGTCAGACTGTGCAGTGACTCTACAGCCAGCAGGTCAGAGGTCAAAGGTCAGGACCTCTCCTCTCTAACAACATGGTGGACTCTGTTCCAGGGCTGCAGGTTCTTGCACATCAGGAAGTTCTCAGCTGAAGCGGAAACGTGTTGGAGCAGACGGCGTGAAGAGGTTTTCATTAACTAACTTTAGCTGTTTCTGTCCGAAGCTTCAGCTGATGTTTGTTCTGAACGAAGCTCCAGCTGCTCTGACCTGAACAACAAGCAGCTTTTAGGATTTGAGTCTACAAAGACTCGGTCCTCTCGTGTCCCGGTGTGTGGAGGCTTAATGTGACTTCTTCTGCCGGCTCACAGGAAGTCCAAAGAAAACTGGTTCCAGATCAGCAGCTGACAGAAACCACAAGTTTTAAACCATTTCAGGCTCGAACAACAAAAACATTCAATAATTCAAAGGATTGATCATTTATTGAAGGGATTTTTAGCTTTTGGAGGAGAAATATATATTTTTTCTTATTTATTTATTTATTTATTTGTTTCTTATTTATTTATTTATTTATTTGTTTCTTATTTATTTTAAATACTTTTTTCATTTATTTATAGAATTATTTTTTATTCATTCATCCATTAATTTTTTTTTTCATTTGTTTTGTGCTTTAATGTTTTAGTTTGGTAGAGTTTGTTTGATTTATTAATTTAGTTTAATTTGTCTTTAAAGATGACTTACTATTATTGTTTTTGTCGAATTAATTTATTGAATTATTTTGTGTATTTTATGAATTTTTTCTCGTTCATATCGTGACGACTCGGTTGTCATTCTGGTTTTGTTGTCTTTTATTTTGAAGTTCCATCTGATTGTGTTTCCTGTCAGAACTCGTCGGACGCTCCGGAGACCATCACCAGCCGAGACGCTGCTCGGTTCCCCATCATCGCCAGCTGCACTCTGTTTGGACTCTACCTGTTCTTCAAGGTGAGTCCGGGTCTCTGCGGTCCGGTCCAGCTGCGGAGTTCTGGTTCTGACCGTTTGTGTTCATGCATGTTCACCTGCTCACAGAGACTCATGTTCGTGCTGCTGTTTAACATATTGTTTTTATGCTACTAGTGCTTAGATGATGTTTTTACTTGTTTCTCTAAGTTCATATCTTTGATCTTATCACTGGTTTTATTTTACATTTTATTGTTTGATGTAACTGGGACCCTGTGAACGTAATGTCATTCCACCACATGGATCACATGATGTGGTACATGTACCAGGTACATGTGGTGCATGTGATACATGTGGTACATGTATCAGGTACATGTGGTACATGTGATACATGTGGTACATGTGATACATGTGGTACATGTGGTACATGTGGTACATGTGATACATGTGGTACATGTACCAGGTACATGTGGTACTTGTGATACATGTGGTACTTGTGATACATGTGGTACATGTGATACATGTGGTACATATGGTACATGTGGTACATGTGGTACATGTACCAGGTACATGTGGTACTTGTGATACATGTGGTACATGTGGTACATGTGGTACATGTGGTACATGTGATACATGTGGTACATGTACCAGGTACATGTGGTACTTGTGGTACATGTGGTACATGTGGTACTTGTGGTACATGTGGTACATGTGGTACATGTGGTACTTGTGATACATGTGATACATGTGGTACATGTGATACATGTGGTACATGTGGTACATGTGATATCTGTGATGTGAATGTCAAATAAATCTCACTGAATCTTTGAATCTGAGTCTTGTGTCCCGCAGGTGTTCTCCCAGGAGTACATCAACCTGCTGCTCTCCGTTTACTTCTTCGTGCTGGGAGTCCTGGCGCTGTCCCACACCCTGAGGTAAGACCCAGTCGCAGGTTCTGATCCAGAACCACCAGAACCAGAAACCGACTCTGACCTGTCCTGTCTGTCAGTCCTCTGATGTCCAGGATGTTTCCAGAATCGTTCCCCAACAGACAGTTCCAGCTGCTGTTCACGCAGGGCGCCGGGGAGGCCAGACAAGGTCGCTACACCTGAACTCAACACCTAAATACACCTGAACGCAACGCTTAAATACACCTGAACGCAACACCTAAATACACCTGAACGCAGCGCCTAAATGAACCTGAACTCAACACCTAAATACACCTGAACACAACGCCTAAATACACCTGAACTCAACACCTAAATACACCTGAACGCAGCGCCTAAATACATCTGAACGCAGCGCCTAAATGCACCTGAACGCAGCGCCTAAATGCACCTGAACGCAGCGCCTAAATGCACCTGAACGCAGCGCCTAAATGCACCTGAACGCAACGCCTAAATGCACCTGAACGCAGCGCCTAAATACACATGACACCCCCCCGAAACACATCTTTCTGTTAGTAAAATATCATGTTCCTGTGCGTTGTCTCTGCTCAGAAGTCGTGAATTACGAGTTCGACACGAAGACTCTGGTGAGTCTGCTGATCAGCACCGCGGTCGGGGTCTGGTACCTGTTCAAAAAGGTAAGATCGGTCAGAACCGGTTGCCGTGGCGACCACCTCTGCAGCCAATGACGTGTCGTTTGTGACATCACAGCACTGGATAGCCAACAATCTGTTCGGCCTGGCGTTCGCCCTGAACGGCGTGGAGCTGCTGCACCTGAACAACGTGAGCACCGGCTGCATCCTGCTGGGGGGGGCTGTTCGTCTACGACGTGTTCTGGGTGAGGCCCCGCCTTCGTCGCCTTCATCATCTTCATCGCATCTGACATTGTTCCCTACAACCTAAACTCTTAGCTATTTGTACTTTCAATTAAAAGTTTTCACATTATTCCCACAATAAAAGCACGACCGTCATTTAACATTCAAAACATTTTTCTTTTTTATCTTTTGGGTTTTTTTTGTTCTGCAAAACGTTTTGAGACAGAACTTTAAATTTATTTAAATTTTCCTTTTTGAAATTAATTTTTGAACAGATTTTTTATGATAGCTGTAAAAATGAAAGAGTCCTCTCTGTCCCTCTGACCTGTCCTCGCCTGTCCCATGTCTCCAGGTGTTTGGGACCAACGTCATGGTAACGGTGGCCAAGTCGTTTGAAGCTCCAATCAAACGTGAGTCCCTGTCTCTGTGTCTCCTGGATGGTCTCTTGTCCTCCGTCCCTCC